GAGCCAAGCCAAAATCAGACGAGCTGCCTCATTATGCAGCCCACTGCTATTTTTTTTCTCTTTTGTCACAGCAACATGTTACCATAGGTCATATTTGGTTGGAACTAGTAGATATTGTTACCATGGCCAATAATCTCGTGGCAATATATCAAGTATGTTGCCAGTATTTGTTTAACATTGTGCATTTCTGTTGCATAAGGTTACCAAAAATTTCTGTTTGGCTGATAAGTTCAAGCGAACAGGGCGTTGCAATAGATAGATCCACTTGTATTACAAAAAGAAAAAAAATACACCATTGCATTATTAGGGTAAATTTCCTTGCGCTACACTACCTCTCCTTAACTCCATAACTCCGCTACCCATTGCACTACCAGGCACCCTGGCAGCGACACACAATTAGTTTTTCGAGTTGAATTGAGGCATGATTTGGATTGCCAATAACTAATGCAGAAAAATCGTGGTACCATCCTTCCCTCTAAACATATGTATCCACAGACATAGTAACCATAAGGTTGCCATGATAATAGGATCTAGGGCTTCATTGATGCAGTCCCCTACAGGGTGTGGAGCACGTGGGGCCAATATGCTACTCCCTTCGTTCTCTTTTACAAGGCGCATACATATATTAAGATTCAGACTTTAAATTTTTTGAATACAGTTAGATTTTGTAATTAAATGTAATATATAATTATCATAGGTTTATAAGAATAAACAATTAGTATAAAATAAATAAATGATTAAAGTGTAATTTATGAGACTTTCACTACTACAGAAAGGATGATCACCGCCGGTTATGCAAGAATCGATGGCTTGCTTTCCTTCGTAAAATAGAGGAAATAAAACATCCACTTCAAGCTCTTGGGAAATTTTGCTACATGTGAATGGAGGGATGAGCAAGTCCTTTCACTAGAATGAAGGAATAAGTTATTATGGGTGTGTTTGGTTTGGGGAATGAGGTGGTCCATCTTCTTCTCACTCACTTTTTTTATTTGGTTTGTGGAATGGAATGAGTTGATCCATTATCACATCATTCCTCACAACCTAATAATTAGTTATGCATGAGGAATGAGTTGATTCCACCAAAATTCATAGGATGAACTCATGATGCATCACCTCATGAAGCATAGGATGACTCTACAAACCAAATACACCATATATTCATGTGTTACAAACACTCATTCCTATAAAATTTTTGTGTTTTTCAATTATCTATTTTCTTTTTTGAAATGGAACCGGCAGAACTGCCTGTTGTATTAAAAAGAAGAGATCCTACAAAGGCACTGTGCAAACATATACAAATATGTACAAAAAGACCAAAGCCCTCTAGGCCTCAAATCAAGCACACAATAATAAGTTGGAGACGTGTTTTGCTCCCGCCATTGCCCATAGACCCGCCTCATCCTTGATCTTCTGAAAGAGCTGCATTGGTGTGGATTCTTTGCGCTCAAAGATTTTTGTATTTATTTCATTCCACACCTTCCAACAGACAAGAATGATGATGTAGCGTAGTCCTCGTCTCGTAGTCGAAGGTGTTCGATCTAAGTTGTCCCACCAAGTTTGTACCGAGTCTCCTAGCACCCAGGCGGAAGGTCGCACGTGCTCATTACCTAGCCAGACAAGAATGCTCTCCAAGATACGCCTAGTGTAACGACAGTCTTGAAAGAGATGGACTCCAGACTCTTGACTGCGCCTACAATGGGGATACACACACCATTATTTGGCCATGCCCGCGCTTGTAGTTATCGGAGGTCCAGATTCTGTTTTGGATGGCGAGCCACCCAAAGAATTTGTACTTTGGCAGTGCCCAGACTTTCCAAATTAGGCATTTGAAATTTGTCATTGTTGATCCAATGAATTGCGTGTGCTAGGCCGATCCTGTTGTGAATTTTCCATCCAACTTATCCTTCCAATTGATGCTGTCTTCCCTGTCCGATTGGAGATGAATGTGGTTTAGAGCGCTCCAAAGCTGGACATACTCCACGGAGTGTTAGGAAATCATCGTATATTTTCTACCTACACTCATTTCCTATTCACGTGTTTTCTTCATTTCCTCTATTTTGCAATCCTCCGTTCCAACAGACCCTGTTGAACTGGAGCAGGAAAAGCTTGTTGCTCAGTACCAGGAGTATGGATTTGTTGAAGATCAGAGAGGATAGGTATTTGCACCCAGATAAGCAAAGATGCAATGCACATGAACGTTACCATTCGCAGGGTATCGGTGCAGCACAACTAGAATTCCGCATACCCACTCAACTGCATGGATAAGCCTAAAGTAGATGATATCAGGACATCAGGTAGATATTGATCTAGCAACCGAGATGTGAACAGAGGAAGCGAGGCTTAGGTAAAAATCAGATGGCTGACGAGTACCTCCAGGTCTGTCACTTTGTCGCGCGCTTGCTCCACCGCCATGATCCGTACGTGGACGGTGTAGGGAGAGTGGCGAAATGGGGCCTTAACTTTCCCCACACACACCACGTATTGCTGCCTCAGATCCATCCGTTTGCCTTCGAGCCCGCGGATCCGGAGGAATACTCGAGCTGCTAAGAATGAGGGTGGCTGGTGGCGCGATGGCGCGAAAGCGGAAGCGGAAGCGAGGGACGTGCCCTGCTTGTTCGCGCACAGGCGCAGAAAGGGGAAAACGATCCTCTTGTCCAAGTGGATATGAGGTGACACGCCAACTTTCCAGAACGTCCTTGAAGCTTCGTGAATGTTCTGCATGCGTGCACAAATTTGCACACTAGCGTCGCTCGCTGGGCCTGCATACCTGCAGCCTACAAGCAAAACTATATCCTGCTCCTGCATTCCTATTTCCTGCTCTTAGAACTGTCGGTGCTGCCGTGCTGGCCACGCGTCCATCGTTACGGATACAAGTGGACATATAATTGTATTTTCTAATAAGTCAGCCAATTAGTTACGTGCCACGTTTAAGTGGCGCGTCTGTGTACTACATTTAAGTTCTCAGCTTGACACGAATACTTCTATCTTTTAGGAATAATTTTAGAAGAAAAACTATGTTATTAACTTTGCTAATATCAAAATCTACTGCTTAGTTTGTCAGACGTGTTCATTAGGGTGATTATGTTTCTAAAAGGACACATAATTTTAGTTTATTTAAGCAAGTTTTAAATCAATCCGATAAACCAAAACAAATGAAACTTGCACCACCCTCTATGCGTGCAAATTTCTATCTGAGCACCTTTTGCTTCTGTTTTCTATGTTGTAATATCTACTCTCTCTATTCGAAATTATAAGTCGCTTTTATTTTTTTTTACATCCATTTTACTATGTATTTAGATATAATATATGTCTAGATATATAGCAAAATAGGTATCAAAAAGTCAAAACGACTTATAATTTGGAATGGATGGAGTATTAATTTGTTTTTTCCTTGGTCTACTGCTGCACTTACAAATTTGTGTTAAGCATGTTTATACCATATTGATTTCAGGTGGCTTTTTTTTTAATATGGCTTTTACTAGCTAGCTGAGGGAAAACTTTTATACATAACTTGCAATTAGATAAAGCCATACAGGTTCTACTGTTAATATCCCAATGCAAGTGCTGTTTTTTTTTCTTCTTATGCCTAGATACCAATCTTATCGAGAACCAAGCTATTTATAACATGCCAAGGTCAGAAGAAGTGGTTGCAAACTAATTAAGCTATGTTTCTTATGGTGAATGCTTGCCACTCGAGTTCGAGTCACTCAGTATGTGTGCTTGCATTTTGGCCAACTATTCTTTTCAATTTTTGGACATGTGCCCGCCAGCATTAAGACGTTTATGGTGACTTCTTTAATCTCAAGACTAGCCGATGTTTTGGTATTTATATTTCATTTTGCTAAAAATGGAAAGTTACATTAGTGGAGATAGGTTACTTATGTCAAAGCTTAGAAAATGTATTTTTTTTAAAAAGCTAGATACACAACACCAACAAAGAGAGTTGCGGTCCATTATATATTTATATCGACTATAAACATATGCTTAAACCACTTTATTTTAGCTGTAATTAGATTCCATGTCCCATGAGAATCTAGAGTCGGAGCTCTAGCAAACAAGACAAAATATAACTATGACATTGGATTTTTTTTCATTTTGTTTAGTGTTGAATCATTTTTTCCATCTTGTAAATTTGGCATTTATCTTATACTACTTTTGTCCCAAATAAGATGCAATTATGGGTTTAGATTGATCATCAATATTTTCTTAAGTCATTTGACTATGTTTTATAGAAAATATTATTAATATTTGGGACTCGAAATAAGTATATTATGAAAATACTCCCTCTGTCCCTGAAAGAATCTATTTCTAGCCCAAAAATTTGTCTCTACAAGAATCGATTTTTGGAGGTGAACGGTCCACAGATCCACATTAATCTCTCTTGTAGTCTGGGTCGTATTTAACACAACCTCTCTCTCCTGCGCTGCTATTGGATACTCTAAACAACACTACTTAGTTAGTCTTCTCGATATTTAGAGAGCTATTAAGGTTCAACAGTTTAATGAGGGACAGCGTAGTCTTTTATCTTCGTTGCTAATATGTCCTAAAGTTGTTTGAAATTCATTCTTCCAGGACAGAGGGAGTATATTCTATGATTGATCTACTGATACTTATTCACTTGTCAAAAAGATACTCATTCGGTGTCATAAATGTTAATATCTTTTTTGCATAGATTTGATCAAACTTAATTAAAACTGTATGACTCCTCAATAAGTGAAAATTGCATTTGTTTTGTAGCACATTTCAAATGAACACATATATCAGTTTCCTGGAAGCGAGACATAATTAGCTAGTATTTACTCCTAGTAGCAGCACAAACAAAATCATCTAGCCCCACGATAAACCAGAAGAGACCATGCATCGAGAGATATATGACAAGCTATAAGCGACATGTCACGTCAGTTTCTATCTTGAGTAGGTTTGTCTCTACCCTAAAGATAGTCAGTGTGCAGTGTATCTACCTTACACCAATTAATTAACACGCTCTGATCTCTGGTTGATCAGTGGCCTGGCTGATGCATCCCGGCGACGAAGAAGCGGCCGGAGGCGGCGTCCTGGGTGGCGTAATAGATGGTACCAGGGCTCACATGGTTGTGCACTCCCTCGTACATGGTCACAACATATCTCGGGTCGTCCTTGTCTCGCTCTACCCTTTTCTTGACGTTGCAGCCCTCCGTCGAGCACCGGTAGTAGTTCCTGCAAATCAATTCAATTCGTTGCAAGGTTCAGTCCAGCATGCATATATGTACACATCATTGTTGATTAGTTCATGATCATTAATCTCTCACTTTTGGGTTTTCAAATAATGACTTGCAAATTAAACTATCAGTGTTAGTAGCACTTTGCCCCCCATGCAAACTACGAAATATTGTATATATATTTACCGCGGATTAGGGCTGTTCTTGACGGACTTCTTGCCGTACTTCCTCCATTTGTAGCCGTCGTCGAGTACCTCGTCGTCGTCCGACCTCACCCGGAACGCAATTCTGTCCGTCCTCCTCGGCGGCCCCTCACCCGCCGCAGCCGCACTCCTGGAAATACAAGTCGTACGTCCAGGTTCACGAACCAGTTGATGAAACAAACGTGCACGTGGTGGCTCACGAGAAAGGCACCAGAAGTATTTTTTGCAAACAAAAGTGCACCACGTCTCTGCTGGAGTCTGGATCTGGACATATATGAAACTCACCTAGCATGACTGTTGTAGCCTGCAGCCGCGTCCGGGACGATGCGCTCGGCCGGCATAAGCGGCGGCGGCGGCGGCGTCGCGAACGCACCAGGTACAGCTGCCGGTGCCGGGACGGCGCCGCCTTCGTCCGACAGGCACTCGAAGACGTCCAGCTGCGCCGCCGTACCGAACGGGAAAGGGGCCGCGGGCCGAGAGCCGAAGTAGCTGGAGGTAGCAGAGCCGCCGCTGCACGGCTGGCGGTACGCCATGGCTGCTGGGAGGAGGACGTCGGCGGCGGCGAATGAGCTGCGGGACGATCGCGCCATGAGCATGGGCCGCCGACCGGGGCCAGCTGCAAGTAACTGTAGTGAGATGCGCGCCGAAGCGCTCGTTTTTATAGCACGAGCGAAGGGCGATCAGCGACGGCGACATGGCGCGCGGGTGTGGGCTTCGCACCGGCCTTCCTGGGCGCGGGGGAGAAACTTCGGCGCGGGCGGGGTGGAGGCGTCAGGCGTGGAGCTAGGGACCTACGTGGAGCCAACAGCCGCCCCGTTCCGAATTGTTGATTTGTTGCCGTCGCGCTCGCGCTCGCGGTCGCTGCCTGCCAATTTGGGGGAGCCGTACGCAACGTGCGTGCGTAGCGGGTGAAAGGGAGGATGGGCCCATTTAAATGCGGGATTTCTTTTTTAAAAATACAGAAATAGAAAAGGTAAAAGTAGAATGCGCAAGCATCTTGAATCTTACTAGTAAACAAAGAAACTGCATGAATTATTTTTCATTTGATGGTATATAAGAGTCGTATAAATTAGTAAATTTTGTACCAACTTTATCTCTGGATAGAATTATAATTTTTTAAAAAAATCATATGGAACATGTCGGAACATATTAATCCCGTGTTCTATAGAGGCAACGTAGAAAATTCTATTATAAAATTCCAATCCTCTAAAATTTTCATTTCCTTAATTTTTCACTTATTTTAAAGGTGTCCATGGCTCTATGTGCCGGTATGGTGGCGGCTGCTGCGAAAAGGCGGGACTTGGGGAAGGAGTCTGTATGTAGTCTGTACTGTATAGGTGTAGAACGTTACGTCGCCATCACAAAATCAAGGATAAAATGGGATGTATAATCTTATGTACGCCCAGAGATCAATTACACACATAAGTCGACAAATTATAGAAAGTATCATCGTAAGTATTTATTACATCACGAATAATATCACATAGTCTTCACATAAATATAGCGGAAATATAAAGATAACTTTCTCGCGGAAGCTCCATAGCACAGTGTAGAAGTGTTGATTGAGAGACGTAGATGATTGAGTCATCCTATCGAAGGCATATTTGCTTGATATTTGGGCTACTCAATCCCTCAAATCGGAAAGCTTATAAGCCATCCCTTGTGAACATTGTCTCGCATCATCTCTCACTACGGGAGACGCGCTCTTTGCCGAGTGCTCGATGCTTTGCCGAGTGTCGAAACACGGGCACTCGGCAAAGAGGCAATTTGCCGAGTGCCGCACTCGGCAAAGCCGGCACTCGGCAAAGGCCAAGAGGGACACTCGGCAAACGTCCTCTTTGTCGAGTGTCAGGCACTCGGCAAAGAATAACCCTCGGCAAAATACCTCAGCCGACGCCGGTGGCCCCTCCGTCATCCTTTGCCGAGTGCTGGCCGTTAGCACTCGGCAAACGTGTTATCTTTGCCGAGTGTCTGGCCTGGCACTCGGTAAAGAGGTTTCTTTGCCGAGTGCCAATTCCGACACTCGGCAAAGTATTTTTATTTTTTTTTATTTTTGTTTTCAAATTTTTTCTGTGGCATTTATACAGTACCTTGAAGCACGTGTTCTAATTTGGAACTTTTCTATGACTTTTTGGTATATTTTTTTTTAATTTTTTATGTTTACTTGAATTTTTCTCGAAAAAGTAAATTTGAACTGTAGGTGCATAAAATATTGGAATTTAGCGATTAAAAAAATAGTATTCATGTTTTTTAGTGTATTTTGAGGCCGTGTGCAGGGACATTCGTGAAATTTCGAACATCTGTTTCACGAAACATGACCACCAACTTGTTAAAAAAGTGTTTTTTAATTATATAAAATGCAAACGAAGTCCGAAAATCACGAAACTTGTCGAGGTGTCGTGTCATCGCATGTAGAGGTTGTGGTAAAAAATTTAGAAGTTTCCGAGCAAGTTGTGACGTACGATGCCTAAAACTCAAACATCTCCACATGTGATCATAATGGCATCCGCTGCAGAAACAAGGTAGATCGGGTGATTAGGGAGTTGTGAGTAAGTCTTTATTGCACTACATTCCTCAATTCCTCGTATTTATTGGACATTCTTAAAATAAAATAATGGATACCTCGTGTCTTTATACATGACTTCTTCATAATCCAGGAGGGACAAGAGGAAAGTGCGTATCAGGTGGCTTACGCTTCCTGTAAAATGCGTGTCACGGACTTGCACTACGGGTCCCGCCTCTAAGCCCACATAGACTACAACGCCAAGTTCCTACTTAGGCGTGTCAACAAAGAGGAGACAAGACGGATGACGCTGACAAGGGAGCAGTACATACAGGTAAATACAAAACATGAATATTCATTTCTTTTGAGATTAAGTATGCCTAATTTGATCTTCTGATATGTCGTCTACTTGATGTCATGTAGGCGATTCCAAGCTAGTGCGCCACCCACCCCGATTGCTGAGAATATATTGTGGACATCTGGTTGGACGGGGACTGGCAGAAGAAGCACGAGGAGACCCGCGACAGGCATTTGCAGATGCCAGGTGTACCTCACCATCAGGGCAGCCACAGCCTCAGCAAATATGCAAAGGCATATGTAAGTCTCCGCCATTGCTCTAATCTAGCCACGCTCAATTCTGCATCATTTCTAACCAGATGTTGTTGTCTTTCTCGTAGTCGGATGCACGCGGTGGCCAGCCAGTTGGTCAACTCAAGACATATGCGCTGGCTCACATGGGCAAGGCGACGGCCGACATCGAGTACGACCTAGATAACCCGCTTGAGGCGTACACCAACTCCAGCGTCCACACCCGCCTCTCTTCATACACGGAGGCGACAAGGTCAGTCCATGGGCCGGGCTACGATCCGAGAACCGAGGAGCGCCTTGATCCTCAGCTCGTGATGAGGGTGGGGCAAGTCAAGAAGTATGAGCGGTTCTGGATTGGCGACGGTGTCCTCGACACGGCCTCTACTCCTCCTCTCCACCAGCTCTGAGCAACGAGCACGAGCTCAAGCGTGCCCATACGCCAACGGCCGACCGCGGTGTCGGCACTCCAGGTAAGCATTCATGTTTCATTCGTCGTTCTTTGACTTTTACATACCTTACCTATGTATTATTGAAACATTGGGGTCAAATGTTGCAGGCTCAGGTGCAGGAACTGCAGGCCGAGCGAGAGGCCGAGCGGAGGCTATAGGCTTTGGAGGCCCAGTGGGAGCAAGATCAGCGGCAGATGGCCGAGATGATCAAGTTCATGCAGCAAATTGGCCAGCAACAAGGTTGGGCGATCCCACAGACGCTGCTTGCTCCAGATCCACCTCCACAACGTCCTGATTCTACCCCGATGAGTATAAGTACGAAGTTTTACTTTCTATGCTGAAACTTAGAGAAACATAGTGAAACATAGAGAAACCTAGTGGTAGTGGTGGTGGTGTGGTGGTGGTCATGGTGGTGTGGTGGTCATGGTGGTGGTGGTGGTGTGGTGTTGTTGGTGGTGGTCACGGTGTTGTGGTGCTCTTGGTGGTGGTGATGTGGTGGTGGTGGTGGTGGTCATGGTGGTGTTGTGGTGGTGGTGGTGGTGTGGTGGTGGTGGTGGTGAAGTGTTGGTGGTGAAGTGTTGGTGATGACGGTGATGTGGTGGTAGTGGCGGATATTTATCTTGTATATTTATCTCTTCTCTTGTCGCTCACGTGCAATCTCTTCTATTTTGTGCAGCATCAATCGGGGGCGGCGTCGAACCACCTCGGAGGGTCGCCGGGATCGCACGTTGGGCCATCCCAACCCGGACCGTCGCCGTGAGCTTCAAATGGCAGCCGTTGTGATATAATGCACTTGTGAACTTTGTGAACTATGCTTATGTGTTTGGACTTTGGACTTGGGACTTGTATGCTATGTTTGTGTTTGTGGTGGATTGTGATATATATATATATATATATAATGTATATCTTGTTTGCAACGATGGAAGACTAAAAACCAAAAAAATTTGATTTTTTTCACTTCTTTGCCGAGTGCCTTGACCATGGCACTCGACAAAGCTGAGAATCTGGGACACTAAGCTTCCCAGCTTTGCCGAATGCCATGGTCAAGGCACTCAGCAAAGAAAATTAAAAAAAAATCTGCTTTGTCGAGTGTCTACCTACAGCACTCGACAAAGAAAATCCAAAAAACAAGCTTTGTCGAATGCCAGATACATGCACTCGCCAAAAGCATTTAAAAAAAATAAAAAACACATTTCTTTGCCGAGTGTCAAGCGTGGCACTCGGCAAAGGGACCATCACCGTGACCTGGCCGTCACGGCGGCTTTTCTTTGCCGAGTGCCATCGTGGCACTCGGAAAATCCTTTGCCGAGTGCCCGACATGTGGCACTCGGCAGAGAAACCTTTGTCGTGAAGAGATATGCCGACAGTTCTTTGTCGAGTGCAAAGACTTTGCTGAGTGCAAAGCTTTTTTTGCCGAGTGCAATTGCACTCGGCAAAGCACACGTCTGCTGCAGTGTCTACCTGGCTAGGGGCACGAGCGCAAGCCGAACGATCAGCTGAGCATGATGGTTTAGGAAGAGGCACCGTGTCGCTTGGCGGCATGAGGAGGCCCCAGCAGCAATAATACGGGGCGTGAGGAGGTTCAGGAAGCGGTGACACAGAGGAGAGTGGTGACACAAGGAGGTTCAGGAATGCTCGAAGATGGATGGGGCTAAGCGAGATGTCCAGTGGGATGAGCTCCTCCAATACCATGGACCCTCCTTAGGGGGAAGCCCCTATAGGCCAACCTCCTCTGGTGCTAGCGCCTAATTTTTTTTCCCCTCATCAATCTCTGGGCTATATGAGAAGAAAGAAGAACATAGAATGACATAAAAAACTAGGACCGACCATATGCCTCTAACCAAATATAAATTAGATCCCATCTCAAAATCATAGACATGATCATCTTATCCTCTACTTCGTTCTAAACTAAACACGTGCCAAGATAGAGTGGATGCCGCTCTCCTACTCCACTCCTGAAGCATAGTGCTTTACTCTTCAGTACTTCCATTGTTAAAACAAAAGGTTATAGAAAAAAATCCAAAGGAAACTAAATCCTACAAATTTCATCCAGCAA